GGGTTAATTGTTGAAGTGAATGAGGCCCGAAAATGTCAGGGAGCCTATGCGAGAGGGGTGAACACTGAGGATAGAGATGGTGGTAGTGGTGAGGAGGGGGGGGCTTCCTAATTGGTATTGGTTTTAACAAGTACCAGCCTATAAATGTAATTGATATTTTAAAATTAGTTGTCAGAGCCTTTTCTTGTCCGCTTATTCTAATCCTAATGCTGGATATAGACGAGCTCTTGGACGCGTTCTGATCATCGTATACTTTTATAAATATGATCTCCATAAACATGTAAGGAGGGCCGTGGAGGCTAATAGGCTAGGAGGAATTGGCTGTAAACGCTTTAACAAACTCTAAGCCCCGTAAAGCGGGCGGCCAGTGTTTGCTTGTTTACGGCGGAGAAACAAAAAGGAGGTTTTTACGACGCGCCCTTTGCGCGACCGGAGGCCGTAAACGCCTCATCCCTGCCCGGTATTTCATTGTAATTTTTGTCTTGTTTTCCATATGACTGTGATCCTTCCTGCTGCAGTGTAAGCTGAGGTAGAATGCTTGTCTACCTTATGTAAAGGTTCTATGTGTCCTGTAGAACAACCATCGCTTTGAAATAAAAAGTTATTTTTGATTGTGATGAAGTCTTTATTAGAGCAGGCATGGGAGTTCCCGAATTTGAGGAATTAGTGATGGCGGTTAAGAGTGACTTAAATCAGATTTCCTCTTTTGATAATTCTGTTCTGGATCAATCAATTTATTTCCAACATGAATTTTTGAGGCTCATATCAGCCAAATATTACCTAATATTGTGCTTATTTAGATCATATAACACTGCCACAAGAGGTCCAAATGTTGCCCTTATTACACTGTGTTGTGTTAAATCAGCTGATTGTACGCCCGACTTTCAAGAGGTAATTGCTGCAGTATGTTTCCAATTTAAAGACAATAATATGATCTTATTTAAACTCCCCCACACCTTCCAATAAAGTGTTTGCATATGAGCTCTGCTGTCTGCATGGGGAGATGTAATCTATTTTTTTTAAGTCACATTTTCTTACCACTTTTCACGCGCCTTGAAGCTACACTGAATACACACAGAACAAGAAGCGGCCTTAATGAACATCAAAGCGGCCGTAAATAATTCCACACTCACCGCATTTGATGTAAGAAACCATCAAAAACTAGATTTCACCCCTCGCCTTTATGCGTCACGTTAGATACGCACTAATTAAGCCATTTGCACAGTGGAGAGAATGGATTTGTCCGCTGCAGCATTGGACATAGAACCTCTTTGTATGTGTGAAGATACTCATTTCAACATGTTACCCGAGGAAACATGTTTCACCACAAGCATGCACACTCCTTCCCCGTACCTGAACACATCACAGAGAGAATGGCTAAGGTGTGAACGTCCTCGGTGTTAATTTTGCACCAGGAAAAACAATTTCCTGGTAGCATATCCTGCAGGCCTGTGATTTCCCAAAGCCTCAACCCTTCCTGTTAATTCCATGTGAAAATGACCTGCTTCAAATATCAGAAAGCAAATTAAAAAAGTGGCCTGATCCCCTCACTTCTTCTTAGAAACACCCCCTTTAAAACACATTAAGAAGACGAGTAGACGGCAAGTTTCACCCCCTTTAATGTGAGAGTCTTCTACGAGGGCAAGCAAAGCCTCAGATGTCTGGTCTTATCCGTGGAGCACGAGCGCCATCAAGCGGCGGAGTGCGGTAGGCCACGGGTGTGAGGGGGGGGGGGATTGGCCTGTAATTCGGCTTTATGGTTCTATTAAGCCCACACATAAAGCTAAAGCTGCTTTAAAATAACTGCGGATGTAATTGGAGGCCAGATGTGAGGGTTGGTTTGAAATTAGAGGAATTAAGACGGATCTGTCACATGTAAATGTGAGGGGAAATATTGAAGGAAAATACATTTTTAATAAAGTAGTTAATGAGTTTCAACACTACAAATCATTGTGTTAAAAATTGTACAGTATGCATCATTTTAGCACAGTAGCAATACTGGGTTAACTATAGGCTATAAAGATAGGTCTTAAATGTATCTTAACTTTACATACCGGAAATGTTTAATTAAAATCGAAATTCGAAAAGATTAAATTGAAATTAAAATCATTTTAATTCTGTAATAAACTTACTTTCTTGAATTTGTTTCTCAAAAAAGCCTGCACAACAACATTACAGCACAAAAGATAAACCAAAAAATTAAATTATATTAAAAGTAGTAGTATTAATAATAATGATTCTAAAACTGATACTGTAAGAAACTATTGTTGTACAATATTGCCTTACATTCTATTTGACATTGACATGTGTATTAAAAACGTACAATATATAGCCTACTTTAATGTTTTTTTTGCCGTTGGCTCATTATGCAGAAACATATAGCCTAGGAAATATTCATATACATTTAGGCAAAAATACCAAAGGTATAAGGAAATCACAAACACACTAAATAACATGGTTCATCATTTATTGTGACTTACTTATGATGTTGTCTTTGCTTGTGTTTGGTTTTAGGAGATTCTGAAAATCTGTTGTGGATCGCTGCATTTAAAGATACCAAGAAAGAAATCAGAGTTCATGTGATGACGCGGAAAAAGAAACTGCGTATATCCCCGCTGTAAAGTCATCTTCATCCCAAATAAACACGTTTTGTTACTCAGATGATGGTTGCTTTTTAAGTGTGTGTGCGTGTGTGTGTCTCGTTTGTGCAGATTGCTAAATTACAGGCTGTAAACGGACTGTAAAAGCGGCTTTTACAGTCATCCAAAGAAAATGCAGTTCAGATCCTCAGTTTCACCCCTGCGGAAATAACAACGTGCATACAGCATCACACCAGTGGAAACAGGGAAGATAGCGCAACATTTAGAATATAAATAAAGAAAAAAATATAAAAATAGATTAGATTCAACTTTAATGTCATTGGCAGAGTCCTGGGACACGTCTAACCAACTGCAAGAGAAGCAGTAACGTGCAATGTCATGTAAATGTAGTCAGTGATGTAAATATATGAATATGACAGATATGAAATGCTAAAAGTATGAACAGTAATAATATGTATAAGAATACAATATAGAGCAGAAATGTAGTCATAGCCTACTAGAAAATATAATTCGCCTATACATTACAGAACAGTAGCCTATGGTACACACTCCATTGTTTCAACCAAAGTTAATAATATTAAAAATTTACAACGTCTGTTAAACAGTAAATCTATTTCTCTGTTGTTGTCAGTTTTTCCTTTGATAGAAGGTGTTTACTTTATTTTTCTTCGTTTTACCTAAGTCGAAATTATATATATTATATATATATTATTTTATTTATTATTATTTGTAATATATTACAAATTAACATTCAAACAAAGTATATGACTGAATTTTTACTAATTATTTTATATGTTATACAACATTAAAGTGTTACGGGAACTTATTTTAGTCTGTAAATTGGTTTATAATGTTTATAATTGTATTTTATCTTATTAATCTTTTCTTTTATTACTCACGTACACATTTTTGTGAAACCATGAATGATATTAATAAATTTACCTATATGAAATTTACTACCAGTGAACGAGTTATGTTATTGTTGTAATTTTTCGTTTTTTCTGTATTGTATAGTTTAGACTTGTATGGATTGTACGGATTAACTTAGTTTACTTTCTTTATTTCTTCTTTTTATGTTTATTTATGTTTATTATTGATCCTTTTATGCATAAAGGGACGATTTAAAAGTTAATTCTTAAGTTGGACCGTCGTCTGTCGGAGCACAATAGACAAAGACTACTCCAACAGGGGACAACCGAGAAGTGAAACTGTTAAGGGGGAGGTGTCAGGTAGCGACGCAGAGAAAGGCCTCCGAAGTGTTAGGTCGTCCTCACCAAGTCTCGGTCTAGAGTCTCGTCAAACTAAAGAACACGTCGCCCAGGCGGGGCCACCCCGGAAGAGTCCTTTGTACTTCGAAGGACGTAGTGTAAAGAAGGACATTTAACATTGGTGTTCACCTGAGGAGGTCCAGTCTTCTTCGGCAGGTTCCAAAGTAAACAAAATAAACTGAAGTGAAACTTTTTTTTGCAGTGTTCCGATTACGAGAAACCGCGCCTATTAGTGAGAGAGAAGTAAGAAGCTAAGGTGCAGCAACAAACGTTGAAGGATAAATAGTTTACCTTGCTGTCGCTCTCCGTCCTACAACGTGTCGTGCTCCTCAAGCTCGATGCCAATTTTTTTACTCCCTCCACTACCCCTAAGTCTGCCTCTCGCCAGCGCGCCTCTGACGTTCTCGTCGTGTGCTGGCTGGTACAGCATGACTCGTCCTTTGCCTCTTCGCGTTTTGGTTCCTCTCTTTCCCTAGGTTACGCCTCGCCACCGAATTTCTCTTTTATCTGCCGTTATTTCAAATATCGCATATGTAAAGACTTCAATCTCTTGTTTGCCGTACATTTCGTTTGTCCACGGCTTTCTTTTCTCTCCTTTATAATCTCTCTCTGCAAAGTTTGGGGGACGAAGTAATAATAAATGAAAAAAGACTTCTCGTCTCCTTTCCGGACCTACATATCCGATGTACAACCCTACAAGGAATAAAATAAAACACCTTGACACACAACGTTCCCCTCTTGCAGAGCAAGAAGAAGGAGAAGGAGGAGGAGGAGGAAGAGGAGAAGGAGGAGAGG